ATATTGAAATTTGTTTGATATGTGAGACATGTAATAATTAGATCGACCAGAAAGTACCGGTGATTATATATTTTTTCTAATTCACAGAGGGGCATTGACCGTGTTCTATCCTACACAAAAGGGTCTTGACCAGATATTGGTCTCGACCGTGTACATATAGTTAACAGAGGGGCCTTGCCCATGTTCTAGAATTGATTACCAAAGGTCTTGAGATCGACTTTTGTTCATGGAGGGGGCCAAAGGCTTGTGACGAAAGTTCTTAGTCCGAGGGGCAGATTATAGATTTCAGTCAGATGGTACATTTTTTGTGAATTTTTCAGTATATTTGATAGGATGTGATTATAGTATGATTATTAGTTGATATTTATAGCTTGACTTTGAGATGACATTTGTGACGTATGTAAATGTTTTACATTTTGGCTATAATTATATAATATTATCTTGCGAGTTATTCAATGATATGAACTCGATTTTGATAAAAATGTAAAATTTAAAAAGTATAAATATTTTCGAACTTCTCCACCCACTGAGCATCAACTCATATATATATTTTCCCGTAATTTTTCCTACAGGTAGCAATCGATTTTTTTTTTTTAGCTAGAAGAGCCTAATGATTTTGGAATGAGAGTTACACGACATGTTGAGTGTTATAACTCATATTAATGAAGCACGAAGTAAAAAATTTGGGCCCATCGCATTATGTTTTACATAAGTATTTGATTTTGATATTTTTTTTTGAAGTAACTCATAATCAGCCTTGGAAATAGATTTGACATCTAGTCAGCATCTATTATCGGCACATGTCACGTTTCGGGTCCACTAGAATGATCCGGAACGGGTCATATCATTTATCCATTTGGCGACCAGACAATATTATACATTATATGCATTTTTAATATCTCTTCTCCATTAAATTTCCTCCAACCACTTATATATCCATCCAACCACCGCGTCCTCCTTGGTGGTAGCCATCATCGCAACAACAGCACGAGGTCATCACGACATCAAGGCCTACAAGTTGAATTCTAGCATCCTTTTCCGACCTGTTTTCATTGTCGGAGCCAGAAACCTTTTTCTCTCTTCTACTTATCAAACGATAGTCACGCATATAGTCATCAAAGCCAGCAAAATTGTAGTGCAACAAGAAGAAAGCCAACCATATTACCCTAAGTTTGCTGGCCTGAATCTTTCCTCCCGGATGGTGGTTGACTCTAGCAAGGAAGATGAGTTTGGACTTTACTTGAATTCTTCGATTATAGAAGAGCAAAATTTCAAACATGCTATGTTTTAGCATTGCGTCAAGGTGCGGCACATTTTTAGCTATGGGTTGATCAAAGTAACGCTCCATATAATCTTATAAATGGTACTGTAGAGTACATTGTTAGCAATTTTAATGTTTCTATTGCTAAGTCAAACTTAGAAAGGCCAAACCACCAAACTCCACCACTACATGTTGGAAGCACGACGACACTAGAGTAGTGGCAGAATTCTTGAATTATTGTGAGCACAATCGATCTGGATTTATTAGATGATTAAACCAAGCCATGAAAAATGGTTGGCATGAGGGAAAATTGAATTCTACACTAGGCATGCCCTATCAAAATCTATGCACAAGATATAATTCTTCAGTTTTTTCCGGCACATGCCGCACATCAGATTATTAGTTCTTCAATTGTGTTATTGCAACATTTTTTTTTAGTAAAGTCAAAATTTTCAGATCCAACGCGACCACACTGGATAATTTGATGGTAGTTCTTTTATTGATGCAGGAAACATAATAATATGAATAGAAAATAAAAGGGCACGTCTAACCTTACCCTCAAGTGAATTATTTTTCGTTTAGGTCTGTTTGATTGCACAAATTTTTCATGAAAGTAGGAAAGTAAATTCCATTTTCCACCTTTTATATATTTGATTGGCCAAATTTTCTTTGGCAACCCCCATTTTCCACCTTTTTCGAGGAATTGGTTTTCCCGTGGGTTTGGTGGTTTTTGATTTTCCAGGCGGCCTTTTTTTTTTTTTTTTAATTGAAACAAATTCTATCTCAAATTGTAACAATTCTATCACTTTAATTGACAAATTTCATAGAAAACAAAGCTAAACGAACATCAAAAGATTCAAAATTGCAATATTTTCTAGGTGAAAAATTAAGCACATTTAATTGACAAGTTCTGATAAAACAAGTTTTAGACAATTCAATTATCTGAAATTCCTTTTCTTCTCATCCAAATTCTATTCTTACAATCAAACAGACACTTAAATATTTATCTAGTTGTTATTTTTATTTTTATTTTGTTAAAAAGTATTTGTTGAAATTTGAGAAAAAAAAAGTATCCTAAACAATTATAGTTGTTTCTTGTAAGTTTTAGCAATATTTGTAGCAATATGCAATGTGTAACACAATTTTTGTTAACGGAGTTCTAATTTGGGTCTTTGGTTCCATGAATGTACAATTTTATAAAAGTTCTCTCCAAATATTTTTCATCCATTAAAATTGTTATATCATTACATGGCTCGCCTGAATTCAATAGCAGCTAGTCAATGAACATCAACGAGTTAATGATAAATCGCAAAGTGTTCTAACTTTGAATGTTCTTAGAGAGAATAAGATACTCATGCCTTAACTATTTACGTGTTACCTTCTTGAGTTTATTTTATATAAGGTGTTGGCATGTTCTATTTTGACTTAGTGAATTGTATCACTTTCCACGCTTCTTGTATTTTCTTCATCATCTATTAAAATATCTGGCATGTAAAGCACTGATGGATTACTGCAAATTTACAACCAAAGAATTAATTTGCTATTTCAAGCACAATGCATTTGAATTGATTGCATAACATTCATTACAAGTACAGATGTTTGACACTATTCCCCCATCATTGTATGCACTCATTCCAATACAATATGCCCCCATCAAATGTTTGTTAGCTCCTATTTAACAACCTTTAATGATTTAAATCATTTGCTACAATATCTTTGTCCATCACACATTCGCACAATAAAATATTTTACACACTAACCAATAAAGTTTCATTACTTTTTAACTTCACATTCTCCAAAAATACTATTCAGAACACTTTAATTTTTGAAATAATGGGTATCAAACAGGATCTTATTGCCACCCACAACTTAAGAGTCAAACAATTTAGTCCTACAACTTTTGAGTTAAATAAGTTAAGCCTATTTTTGGGTAACGTTATAAGTATGTTATAATTTATTTTTCGATGTCAATTATTAGTTTTAATCACGCATTTCGTAAGATCTATAAATAATTTTAGATCCAGCAATTGTCTAGAGCTAGGACGATCGTTGATCGTTGACGACGATACATATACTTGGTTGGAGATATCAATGCTCAACCACAATTCCAGATTTCAAAATGGCCGAATGGGGTTTGCAATTGCCAGTTTGAGAGAACGTGAGAGAAGGCCAACGTTTTAACTTAATGTATTAATATGCCTAACTAAAAAAAAAAAAAAAGGTCCATAACAAATGGCCCACAATAATTTCCTCCCTCTAGGCTCGAAGCTTCCCCTGCAACAATGGTGACTGCAAGTCTGCGACACAGCCTCCCTCTGAATCCAACTGGTAAATCTTGGTAGATCAACACGGGCGGCCATGCCACCTCATCTGGTGCTTGATCTACCACTGTCTATAAGTATTACATACTTATTTACCACACGTTTTTATCACGTTATAATTTTGAGAACTCACAATTTACCCAAACTTATGCTAAGAATTTTCAATTACCCAAACTTATGCTAAGAATTTTCAACTTAGTTGTCTTATAAACTATGATGAATTATAGTACATTCAATATGTGAGTTTACCAACTTGTAAAAAATGCTACTTTAACCAAATATAACCGTGAGAGTTAATAGAGTGTATTTGAGAATGTTTATAAACTGTTTAAATAGATAGAAATAAGTTAATTCTACTTTCCCGATCCCTCGTTTTATAACAATTTGATAATTTATAAATGATTTATAAATTTTGTTAAAATTTGGCCTAGTCACTTGTCCTCTTGCATATGTGGTACAAATAAATATAATACAAGAATTATGATTGACAATTTAAAAATGGCAATAATGAGATGAATATGGTATCACCCAAATTATCTTCTCTAATAACTAGACCAAGTAAATAATCCACTCATGGGTTTTCCATTTCAGACTATTATGGTTTGATTTGGCTACATAACGTTCTGTGCCATAAGATATGTGTGTTTGATTTTACTGCCCATTTTAAATGCTCCTGTGAATGACAAAAATCAATTCCAAAGCTAATGTTTTATTTTAACCATTTTGAACAAATAACTTGAACAATTCTCATTTTTTCTTTTATTGTTTTTTGTCAAACTGATTGCTTTGATTTTCATAATATTAATTGAAACATTGAGTTCAAGTTTAAATCAACACAAATTGGTCGTTATAAAAGCGTGTATAAGATAATTGGAGTTAATTGTTCCAATGATCGCTGAACTTAATTCCATATCTTTGATTGGTCACTGAAGTTTAAAATATCGAGTTTTGGTTACTAAACTATGTCAATATTTTCGATTGCTCACTGAACTTAGGTTCATGTTTTAGATTGCTTACTAAATTTTAAAATGTTAAGTTTTGGCTACTAAACTTTGGAATATGTCATACGTTACTCATTAGTATAACTATTGAATTTTGAAAAATATCGAATTTATAGTGAATAACGTACAATATTTTTCAAAGTTCAGTGAGTAATGTACAATATTTTTCAAAATTCAGTGAGTAATATACAATATTTTTCAAAGTTTAGTGGTCAAAACTTGACATTTTAAACTTTAGTGAGTAATCGAATACATGAATCTAAAATGCAGTGACCAAGACTCGACATTTTAAATTTCAGTGATCAATCAAAGACATGGACCTAAGTTTAGCAACCATTGAAACAATTAACTCAAGATAATTGTGTATACGTTAACACTAAACTCTTATTTTATTTTTCTTACATACCACTACAAATAAAATGATGATCAAAATATCCTCATTAATATCATCCAAATACATGCCCCATACAAAGGTGAGATCTAACATAAAATTTATTTATATAGGGATAAATAAATCATATATTTCACAAAAAAATATACAATGACTAAAATAAGAATAAAAAAGATAGAAAATGCTAAAAATTAATGCAAATCTAGGGTTGTTTTCTATTATCTTGGATTACACCTTCATTCCCTGCTAGCATCATGTACTTATCCCTTCTTGTAAGAGTTGTGCATTCAAAACCCAATGCATGAGCCAGTTGTCTCTGTATATAATTAGCCACCTCATGGCTAGATTTACCTCCAGCACAAGTTAGTTCTTTGGGCACCATCCCAAGAATCTGAACTCTGTAAGTTGGTCTGGGGTTCATCAAGAAGAAAATTGGGTCCAAACACTTGAGCCCACTTGCAGTAGTCCCATAAAACATGGTCACATTTGTGTTAATGGCAACGGGCACAATTTCATCAGCTAATTCAGCAAAAAGTGAGCTAAATCTCAACAAATATGGCTCTCTGCAGGTGGTTCCTTCTGGACAGACCACTAAATCACCTTCACTCAGTAATTTCTGCATTGTCTCACCATCTTGTTTTCTATCTCTTGTTAATCTGACTGTTTTTATAGGCGCTATGATTTCAGACATTTGACTTAGGCTGTAGGTTACTGCAGTTAAGGGTTTTCCTAGGGATGTGCTGAGGAAAACTGGGTCCAAGAGGGTTCTATGGGTGCAAACATAGAGTACACCTTTACCATTTTGGGATTTTAAGGGTGCACAGCCTTTGATTCTGAGGTTTACACCACTTGAAGTGCCTAAGAAAATGGCCATTTTGTAAGGTAAACAAATTCCCACAAAAAGTCTGAAGATTGCCAGCACAAATCCAATAGGAATCCACATGAACATGACCAAAGTTGCAAAGGGAGTGGGTAAAAAAGCCAGCCTCCCATCATGGAAGACTAAGGGCTTTGGATACTTCTCTCTTGGCATTACTGAATTTGCACCGATTTTGCTGTCTTCTTTGTTGATCACATATGCTTCCTGTGAAAATTATGAATTTGAAAAACTTGTTCGTTGCTATTGTGAATAAAATGTGTCGTGCAGCACCAAGATACTCAAGTGTCCACTACTGTGAAAGTACTAAAATGGGATGCTCGAAAGCTGGTTAAGCAAGTTAATTTATACATACCTTGCAAAGGGAGATTAATAAATGGTCATGAAGGCTTGAAGTTCCAATGCCAATGTCTGGTCCTTTTTCCCCAAACAAGTCCTTAAGAGCTCTATGCTTAATAAGAAGACCAGAATTAGATACTAGACCAGTGAAATAGTGCCCTATTGTATGCAACTCTTTATGAAAGTTTAAATTATAACTTAAATTGATCAAACATTTTTTTATTCACACTTTTATAGGACTCACAACTTATGTAAGCACTCTCAAACATGACACTAGTCCATTTGCTTTGTATGAAAGAATTAGCAAAATCAACTCCCCATTAATTTTCATATAATTTTCGGTCTCCCTTTTTATTTATTTATTTTTAATTTCCGACCATAATTTTCACAAGAACCAAGATTGATCATTCTGATTAAGCTTCCACGTTTTTGACATATACAAGGAATTGATTTTCTATGAATTGAAGGAGCAAAAACTGTTCATTTCTTGGACTGTGTGCGCATCATCGCTCTTGAGATAAAGGCCAGAAGGCCATCAATGAGTTTCTCACTAGAAATTTCTCATGAATTGACCTATTAAAGCATTAAATTCTTTATTTCAATTTGTCACAAGAATTTGATGGTGATCAAGTTCTGCAGTTAATTACAACCACCAAGAGTTGACTTTGTTTTATTTCTGCTTAAAGAATGTTAACCTAATTGTCTCGTTATCGTATGGATGAAGTAAATGGAAGTGGGTTTGTTCTGGATCTTTATGTTATCCGCTTGTCAACATTATATATTTATACATTTATGCATGTGTTGTTCTATCCTTTTATAATTGGTCATTTTGAATTTATGTGTTCATTGACCTTGCGCCTATCACCCAATGGAAGCTGGTCATATCCGACATCGTTACTTTCAAGGCAGGGCTAGTGATTGGAGTTTGAGATTATGATAGATCTGAAATTTAAACTTGATTCATGTTGAAACATGTGCTTCAATAGTTGGAACTCATTTATTCTTCTGCCAAATTCATATATTTTTCGTTTCATAATAGAATCGACATTAAATTTATTTATTTTTATGTTGTTTCTCATACCGTGTCTTGGATCTCGGGTTTAAAACAAAATCTAATTGTTAATATCAAGTAGTTGAACCATCCTTTTCGAATGAATCCCAAACACAATTCCATTTGAGGCAAACAAGGTGGTTGGTGAGATTTCAACAAGAATTTTGAGACTTTTTGCTATTTACTAATCAATTGGTTCAAACCAACTGGGGTGTAGGGTGGCTATCAAGAACATGGAAGACCAAATCTCGAAATCAAAAAAGGAATGTTTTGATAAATAATCCAAATTGAAAATTAATGTTTAGATTATAATTCAAAATTTGAGATCATGCAATTCTTGTTAATGAGTTGGTAAGTCTTGCAAAATACGATCTATATGCAATTTTTAAAAGTTTGAATACTCCGTTCCTACCTAATTTGTTGTCTTTTTTCTTTTCTCAGCTTCTTTCTACCAACAACATATTTTTCCCCTAAAACCATTTCTTCTTTGTATATATACGCAAACTACCAAAATATAATAACTCAGATCGGTGCGAATTGCATAAAAATAATCAGATATATATTATAATTCCATACAAAAGAATCACATCTTAAATTAGTAAAGGATGCAAATTCATGAGTCACTTAATTACCCTACAAGAAATAAAACAGGAAGAAGCACAACATGCAGACGTTTTCTCATTTTAGAGCATGTTTGCCTAAACTAATTAACTTCTTATTCTGGTTGAATGCTTAATTTTGAAACTAGCTGCTTACGTTTAGCCATACATACCTATATATTTACACCCTATTTGAGCCACATTCTTTAAAAATATATAAATATATTCTTAAACAGTGATTTAATATCATTTCAATTACACATTCTTCAATAAAATTATATTACACGCAAATCCAAAACATTTTCTTATTTTTCAACTATACATTTCCCATCAATACAGTATTCAAAAATGCATTTTTATGAAAATAATATGGCTCAAACAAGGGCTTAATCTATCTTACCAAAATGTGCAACCGAGAATGGCCGCAAGAGTTATGTAGGAAGAGAGAGGTGGCAATTCAGAGCAGTCACAAGAAATTGAAGAAAATGAGAGAATGCAGGGCGTTCGAACATAAGCATATAGCAGCAATAAGAGATTTCACATGTATATCTGAATAAATGCTTCGAAAACTTCCTTTATATCATGTGGAGCATCCTTAATAAAAAAGGATGCTGCCTGGTAGACGAGAGTCATATGCACATTTGAGTTTCATAATCAGATAATTAAGCTAAAACCTATACAAAAGTTAGCGGTTAAATCTGACCAATTCTTATTCAGAATCAGCCGCTTATGGCATGTGTGCATTCTTCTCCGGTGTCTCATCAGGATCACCCTTTGGGCTGTCGACTCCAATATATGATCCATCAGGCTGACAGAACAAGATGTTCAGATTGCTGGACGTTAATGATTCCTGAGAATAAAAAAAATACCTTCAGATCAGGTTATATGATGACAGTGAACTGATAGATATAATGGACGATTTTGAAAGACAACAGGTATTCATGCAATTATGTTCGTCTAGAAGTTCACGAATCACGACAAATCTTGAATGTGAAGTGACGAAAACAGGAATGTTGACCCACAAAAGGATAAGCCATTTCCTTCATATACAGCTCGAAGGAACCAATTGATGAATAAAATTTGTTAACTAGAAAGCATATGACAAATCATCACAAGTTCGTATTGCATTTACATCAAAAGACAGCACAAACAAATACGTGACGTACCAGATCACGAGACCCTTGACCCTCTGTCTGGAACAGTATAGGTCGGCATAGCTTGTCTTCACTCATCAAACTTGAATTCTGAAAGTGCGAGACCAGAGCTGTCTTCCCCTGGATTCTCGCATATGCCAATGAAGCAACCTTTTCACTATTAAATTTTTCCCATTTCTTCCCATTAAATGCCTGCGTAGATTTGCATATGATAAAGTCAGTTCGTCATCAAGCAGATTAAGAAATAACATATAAGATTATGTAGCTTGCCAGGGTGATTACAGAACATCACGAACAATTGTCAAATGTTCCAAACATACTAGAAAAGTGATGAAAAAAGGAACACAGACCTCGTAGAAGGTGATGATGTGTGAAGGAGACGCCATGTTGATGAAGGCATACCCGACATTGCACTTATTCTGGACAACAGAATTTAACATAAATTACCTGTGGATTGACTTTAGCAAAATAAATAAATAAAATCTAACTCAGCTGAGAAATTACCTTAAAATCAATCGGTAAATATAGGAAATCATATGTACCCTTGTGAGTTTCATCAATAGCCGCCAGCAGCATCTTCGAAGTGTACCTATAAAGGAATGTAGGAAAAATACTTCAAGAATCAGTAATTACTAATTAGGGAAAGCAAAAAGATATTTAAATTGTTCCCTTTTCTTACTTGTTGGGAATATTTTTAATCATCAAAGTAGTCCTAGTATCTTCCCCGTTGATGATATTTTCCAAATCTAGTTGATACTGACTTTTGTTATCCATGTGGCTTCCACTATCAGCCCTTCTACTACGACCATTGTCACCAATTAATCTACCATTCAGGGTTGCTCCCATGCCTCCATAAGAGCCATTCCCAAAATATGTAGGACCATTCTTTGACATTGACATCATTATGGACGCAGGAGAACCAGTTTTAGTCAAGTTTCCAGCAAAAGCAACACCTAAGTTAGTGGCCCCAGGAACCCCCATGTTCATCGCATGGTTCCCATTGGTACAATAAAAATTTGTGGATCCAAATGCCACAGGGTTCATGTAGGATGTTTCAGGTGACTCGGGGAAGAAACCAAAATGCCTTTCTGGTTGTCTACGAGATGGAGCAGATCCAACGTGATGGTGTGAACCCAGAAATGAGCCATCCTGACTGGAGTATGGGTTACCAATTCCCTGTCCAGAGGACGAGAATGGAAGTCCCTTCATCGATGTTGACCACGCAGAAGAATTTATGCTCTCTGAGTGAATAGTAGGACTTCCCCAGAGAAACTCAGGGCCAGAAAGTGTTCCAATGCTAGATGACTTGGAATCACCAAATGATGACACAGGTCCAGGATTTGGACTTAAACTGGGATCAAGAACAGGACATTGATGCTGATAAGCTGTTCCTGGTGCTGTATTAGCCTTGGTAATAACCTGGTTCGCATGGCTTATTCTTCCAGGATCTTTACCAATTGGAGCAATCTTCACAGGATTTGAAACCTGGGAAGGAAGAATGGAGGCCAAACCAGGTAAGGGGTTGCTTCCCACCGGGCTGAGATTTCTCAAACCAGGTGACCAACTATAACCATGCAACAAATTGAGCTCAACTGGACTGACAAAATTTGACCAGCTACCTGTGAGAATTGTGCAACCAATTTTAGCATAAAATAAGAAAAAAGAAAACACTTGAATGTTAATTCTTTTATTAGTAAAACCTGCAATGAATTATATGTCTAATGAATTCGGAAGTGTGACAAAAAGGACAGGTGACTTGAGTCTTAGTCTTGATGGCAATACCATAATAAAATTTAAGTTAAATCACTATGGCAGTGAACATCCAATTTCCAAATATAAGCATAGAGAGCATTATTATGAAACATATATTCAGAACATACGAGACCAAGTAACATTTCTATTTTGAAGGCAAAACTTCAAAATAGAAATGCAAGCCATGCCACCTCCACTCCCCAACAGCAATAGAATCATTGTGTGAAACAAATGGCCTTTGTAACAATCCGAAGACATAACATCTTTTAATCTAAACACAAGCAACTGAGAGGCATCGGTATATGAACTTCCTACTTCCACATGCATTCACAGGAGAGGGTGAGCAAGAAAGTGAAGCTGACAAGGAAGACCTTCGTTCCTACTTGTAAAGTATGAAAATGACAATTATAGCATCAACGATGACAGTGGGAAACGTGTAACTATTGTCAGCAAAAACTGAAAAAATGATGGTAGAAATATAAACCAAGACCATATCACAGAGTAAAAGCTGAGATATTAACGTACCTCCGGCGAGCTCCACCAGGCCTGCTAGGTTCAAGTTTAATGCGCTTCCCAGCTATGTCACTTCTGTTTAAGGCCTTGAGAGCTGCTTCTGCAGCTCTAACATCATAAAACTCAATGAACTTATGGTGTCGTTTATGTGGTGTTTCCCTGATCTGCATTTCATAAGAAGACAACTAATACAACGGAAGAGGAACTCCAGCGGAAGCCACTATAAATAACAGCAAAAGACAAAACAAGGACAAGAAGTAAACAACTAGATACATGGGAAAAATTATACCTCCTTGACTTCACCATAAGCCCCAAATATTTGGCGAAGGTCTTCATTGGTTACTGAAGTGTCTAAGTTGAACACCACAAGAGTTCCTTGGTTAATATCTTTCTCTGATGGGTTATCCTGAATGTAGCAAGAAAATAATGATCACATATTCAATGGCATTGAAGAAAAAAAATGATATTTTGGTACATACCTTGGGAATTGAAAAATGAATATCAAGTTTTCTTCGTCTTAAGGGCTTGTTTTGTAAAGCGCGCATTGCTGTTCGAGCAGCTCTTATGTCATAGTAAGATATCATCACAAATCCCCTGTGCTTACATGCAGTATAGAGAGTTCTGACATCTCCATATTGCTATTAGGAAAAAAAGTAAAAACAAATATAAGTTGTGTAATAAATTAGTTCCACTCAAACTTAAATATACAACTAGGAGAACAAAATTTGCCTAGAACATAATAGCTGTTGTCAGTATAAAAGTTCATCGATGGCCATAAGTTAAAGCAGATTCAGCTTGTCAGCATCTTAGACAATAGCACATACCTATTTTCTCTTTTATACGAACTGGAGATATTTGTTTGTTATTATATACAAAGAAATACAACTTCAACTTAAATGAAACTGGCACCAGACTACAAATTCAAATACTCATATGGTTCATGAATAGAATTTTACAGAAGAAAAAATATTGTTCCACATGGAAATCATACCATTACTTTACTACTTGTGGAACATCCTAAGAATTATCAAACAAAACATCTATTTCAGGAATGTGATAAATATCACGTCTTTCTATTTTTTATTTTTTTTTCATTTTTCGTTTTGTATTTTATTTCATATATTTGTTTCAAGGAATTCACCCTTTTATGTATCAATCAACGTTTTGCAAATTTGAGCTAAATAAGTAAGGAAAACAAACAGTTCATTTCATTGGAGCCACAGAAAATAATTGGAACATTCGTTACCACAGTGATATTAGCTATCCATGGACTAACAAAGTGTTAATGCACATACACACACATAAAAATGCAATACAGTACAACACTTTCCACCCTCTACGACAATCTGAAAAAATAGATTATGAAGTTCCCCAAAAATTGGAAAAATAAAAAATACAACTGAGATACTTCTTCCAATCAATTGATATCCATGTTCTTTTCTTTTCCCAAACTTCAGAAGTTTCTTTAAAAGCAAACATCAGCAGTACGCTAACTACAGGGCACCACATGCCCAAATCCAGTCCAAAATTATTTATAAATGGAAAAAAAAAAAAAATCAAGTAAATGGCAGATAACACCAAGTTTCTGAAATTATCAAAATGAATTAGTAGGAAGAAAAACAGATAAAAAAAATGCATCAAAATACTGATTAGCATGCAAAATTAATTAAGGGTGAAAATATAGACAAGAGTACGATGCAAAAATTTAGGAATCTGGCTAGAAATTATACCTCAAAGAGAGACTTCAGTTCTGAGTCATCTACGTTACTGTTTATATTCCGTACAAATAATGTTCTTGAAGGATGTTCTCCATATGGGTGTTCACTGCTAATATTTGCAAAGCCATTTGGGAGACCATAATTGGCAATGATGTTTCCGTTAATACCATCAGACATACTTAACCTTGTGATTCCATTTGCCAGATTCTCTTGAGGCACGGATTCTATTTCTAATCCCCCTCCACTACCAAAGAAATCATCATCCAATCCCTTAAGTTGAGTTGGCAAGCTACTAAGATCAAAATCGTCAATGAGGCCAGCTAGGAGCTCCTCTTCATCGCCAGGGAGAAAGCTTCCTATAGCATTTGGTTCAATATCTTCGAGTGGATACTTAACTTCATCTTCTAGACGAAGTTTACTTAGGCTTGGAAAAGTATCATCAACTGATTGAACACTTTGTTCGGATTCATTAAAAGTTACTGCACATAAAAAGAACCAAATCTAAGAAAAATTCCAAGTAACAGGAAGACGCAAAGAAGCTCAATCACTCATGCTTACACTTATTGATTGGAAGGAAAGGCAATGAGCGAGAGAAGAGGCTAGCATCAATTGACGGATGATATCCATCAATTCCAGATGGGATTCTCCATTCACTTTTTTCTTTCCCTGGGATGTTTGCAAATGGAGTTCTAGATAGACCTAAAAACAAATGCAAAATAATCAGGCAACGAGAATACATTTCTGAAAGTGTATCTCAAATGTTTGAAATCTCGTAAGCTGCAAAAGGTGGGGAACCTTCAAAGTTACCTGACGTAGAATTATTTGAAGATTGCTCCATTAGATCACTTACTGCAAAGATAAAAAGATAAAAAAGTATCATAGTAGCCCCTCATTAGAGAAGTTAGGAAGTTGATCAATAAAAATAAAAGTTCCAAAAAGCAAATATGCATGCATAGACGACAAACTTGATTTTTTAAAGCTACAATCTGTCATTCTATCTACCGTCTCACAAAAAATAGAAACAATATACGAGCAAGGGAGAACAAGCACACATACGCATGCATACACAACAAACTTGATTGCTTGTTTCTATAAATACATTTAGCAACCAACTACTCATACCCATTTTGAATTAAGAAATAAGCAAAACTTGACATATGAATCACGTCATTAAGAAATTGAGCAACTTCAATTGTATATTTAACACCCCCGACTAAAAAAAAGGCAAATAACAGTATTAAATAAATAGTATATTCACTAAACCAGAAAAGATCAAAACAGAAAATTTTTTGGAGGGGAAGTGCTCAGCTGATTAGAACAACTAAAATTTCATTTCATGTGAAAACCCTTCAGAATTAATTCAAAGAAATATTATCTATCAACTCATAATTCAATTTGTTATTTGGTCAACTCGAATCCCCAAATAGATGAAATCAACCAAAAATAATCACAGTTACATCAGGGAGGGAAAAAAAAAAAACCCCACTTAATGTTCAATTCATACTTGACGAAAATTCAAGAAAAGATCGTACCTTTAGTCTTAATAGCAAATAAAGATCACAAATTTACCATAAAAATCAAACAAAGTTAGAGTCTTGAACACAAATAATATATCAAAACTTAGAAAACAAAAGTACTTAAAGAACAATTATTAAAACCCACATCAGTTATAGTAAAAAGGAGAAATACCTCATGAGACAGATGAAGACAATGATAAATAAAATATAAAATTAAGACCTAAAAACAGTTCCATAGAAACATACGAATTCTGTTCTTCTACTCTTCCACTTCCAATGCCTTCGCCGGAACCCCAGTAAATATTTGCAGAGAGAGATACTGGTCCCAGAGAAACACAGTGGAGAATGATTGGAGGGAAAAGGATACCTGGATTATATCTTTGACTGTATAACTATTGCAAGCTGCAGTTAATTATTGGATTATTTGAGTAATCTTCAATTACAGACGAGAAAAAAGGTAATGACAAGCAAACAAGGAAAGAATGTAAAGGAGACAAGTTTGTAATTAATTATATAGTTTGACCAAAAAAATATGTAGAAGCCAAATAAGGTAAAAAGATGAATTTCTTCTATACTTAAAAAAATATTGTTTAGTTTCAAAATCTCAAGAACATATTTGTTATCCAATGCATCAAATAAGAAAGGGAATTAGCTTTCTTACCTTTTCCGTTTCATCCTTCCACAAGTACCTTGATAGATTCTGCCTTGATGATTTATTTCACTTTCCTTTGTGCCTTTTATTTACGATACTATTCGATTATTAGTATCAAATATGATATTTTTAAAAGGAGAAAATTGAGCTTGTTGACGTTGATCATTGTAAAACCTCGACGCATATATATTATGGACGTCCATAAGTTAGACTCCAGTATATCATAAAGTCGACTATTGAAGATTAACTAAAGCACAGCTATATAATGTTTGAACAAAACTACCTTAAACGCAACACCGAATAATGTAAGTTTGATATTCTACAAGTGTCTCCAAAAAAGAGTAATTATTATTTGGGTACTAGAAATTATAACTCTAAAATGGTTCACTCCACGATAATGCAATATTATGCACCACTCAGTTATTTCTAGCAATAAAATTTGTTGTATTATGAAATTACCTATAAATAAAAGAGAAAGACATATATTTGCTTCTTATTCAATACATATATACATGCATTTTGCTCATCTCCTTACCTTCTTTATATTATATACACCATGATCTAATTATCAAACAGGTAATAAATATGGTGAGTTTTCACCCCTTTTTTAAGTTATCGAAACAAAAATAGAACTCATTTTGCAACTTCGAATTTTTCAAGTAAAATCATTTCAATGTTTGCACATTGAATTATGTTGTTTGGAATACAATCAAAATATAAATTAATTAAAATCCTGTCTAAATCAACATATTTAGGGGTTGATAAGGATATAAGAAATAAGGGGAAAAAAGTTAGAAATATTATTAAACTATCCACACGTTAAAAAAGCTCTTAGTCAAAGATTATTAGGCGTCGGAGGAAGTGGGACCCAATAGAAAAAGGATAAAATTTATATTTAATTTAATTTTTATTTTGGAGGTCGAGAGCTATTCCTATATTTCTCTCTTTGATGGTACTGTGGATTCGAATTTATCCTCTTTATAAATTTTAATAAGGAAAATAAAATAGAGTTATTGAAGGAGTAAAAGTATATTATAATTCGCTATGAATTAAATAAAGGAAAACAAAATTAAAAAGGAAAATTTAGGACTAATTTTGAGTCATCAACTTTCAAGTGAAATCTTGGGTCCTCAACCTTATTAAAATCTTTGTTCCTAAGTCATCACATACCAAAAAAATGTCAATATGGACGATAAAATCAAGCATAATTTAAAAATGAAGAGCAAAGTCGTCAAACTACTCAATGTCCAACTTTAAGTCACAATTTTATCATCCACGTTGACAGTATTTCACCATACGTAGAGATCCAATATCAGATAATTAAATAGGTTGCTTGGAGATCCATAATCACGATATCTTTATTTGGTTCTCACCCACTTTTGCCCCCCTTTTTTTTTGGGGGGGGGGGGGGGGGGGGGT